TTTTTTAAAGATTTTATTTATTTATTTGAGAGAGAGAGAATGAGAGACAGAGAGCATGAGAGGGAGAAGCAGACTCCCTGCCGAGCAGGGAACCCGATGCGGGACTCGATCCCAGGACTCCAGGATCATGACCTGAGCCGAAGGCAGTCGCTTAACCAACTGAGCCACCCAGGCGCCCCACCCTTATTCATTCTTTAACCAGATGAGAAGGAGGCTAAAGATAATAGATCATTTGTTTCCAGAATTATTTTTACTTAGAGGGCTATATTGTTATACAGTCTTCAATTTTTAATTAAGCAAAAATCTAGCTCTAGCTGCATTTTCCTTCTTTGTGAGCTTGTAACTCTTCTCTTGATTTCCTTCCAGGTCCTGAGTACATTTTTCCCTCCAACATTGAGCCTGAACCTAAAGATCTCACAGTTGGGGTTGCCCTGCATGGGGTCACAAAGATCTATGGCTCAAAAATTGCTGTTGATAACCTCAATCTGAACTTTTATGAAGGACACATTACTTCATTGCTGGGGCCCAATGGAGCCGGGAAAACTACTACAATGTATGTTACTTTTTGAACACTTATTGTCGTGGAAGCATATTACTTAATATTTCCTCACCTCTTTCATAAAGATTAATGTTATTACATCTCCCAGATGGATTAAGATAGCTCAATTTGTTTACTATAGAATGTAGTCTAAATCATAGGTCCCAAGCTGTGAGCTCAAAGGCCAGATCAGACCCACCTAGTACTTCTTAAAATGTTTAACTCAGTGCCAGTATTTTAAAATGGAGAAATGTCCCAATAAAAAGAAATGTTCTTGACATTTCTTGGATAATAGGAAGTTCGGACAACATTGGATCCACAGTCCTAGGTAGGGACAATTGGTTGGGACTTACTGGTGACTGTTCTCTTAAAGGGAACATCTGCTTTCTGATTTATTCCTGTTCCCCACAAATCTGCACTGTCTCATATGCCCAGTCTGTTCCATTTATTTGCATTTCTATTCTGGCCCATGTATAATTTTGAGTTTACACACTCTGCTATAAACACACTCAGCCCCAGCTGCTCCTTGCCTTGATTCATGAAGAAAGAAAAGAATCACCAGCCATCAGATATAGGTCAAAAAGGCTAGGAGCAGTACATGGGCTGTTCTTTCTCACTCTTCATTTAACTAGCATTTTCCTGTGTCCAAAAGGAGAAGAGATTCAAATGTTTTTAAAGTGACATTCTTTTGAATTTTTTTGTGACTCACCACCAGTGCTCCACATGGCTTCGCTGGAAGTCAGTGCTAAGATGACGTTGCTGCCCTGGCCCTTGTTTGAGAAAGTGTCAGTTGCTAGATATCCTATTTAGTATCATCATAAGTAAGCTCAGTGACTGCCAAAATATATTCAAATTAATTTTTCTTTTGTAAATAAGAGGGGACAAAGGAAGGTTATGAAATGAGTGAATGTGTGCAGTTGCTCTTATTTATATGGCCTGTTTAAATTCAAAGTTGGCTTTCTAGTGAGCATACAGTGCTTAAAAACAGGATTTCTAATAGGCAATAAAAGACCAATGAAAAAAAGAGATGGAGAAGGCTTTTGAAGAGGATGTAATTTTAGCTGAGAAAGTCTCAATTTTATTCTTCTGAATATAAAGAATGAAGTATATTGTTTGTAGTTCAATGTGTTTTTATGGGAAGAATTGCATATAATATCGATGCCCTATTTAATCCACGGTAGTCATTTAAGGTCTATTATGCACAAGGTACAAGATACTAGTTAGGTACTAAAAGAGAGAGTGGTGAGAAAATAGGTCCTTTGCCAGACTCGTGGAGCTTACATTTTATTGGAGAAGAGGGATATTAAATAGTTTCCCGGTCTACTAACCATCTGAAAGATGATGAGCAATCATCTGATAAGATAGAGAATAATCACAGTGTAGAGAAAGAGACTGAAGGTGACCAATGTTCACATGGGAAGGTGAGTTAAGAGACTATGGTGGTCAGGAGCAAGTGGTGGTGTGGCTTGCACTGTGGTGTGGCTGGGAAAATGGGACATATGGGTGGAGGTAGAAAACAGAGATAGAAGGAGGATGCAAACACAACTTCTGGATCCCAGGCTTATGCAACCAGTATATAGGTTCATCATATGGTGAAAGAGGAACATCAATGGGAACACGGGTTTGAGGGCAAAGATCCTGAATTAAGTTTTAAACATGTTGAGTTTGAGGATCCTGTAAGACATCTCATGGAGAAGTGGCACTATCTGTTGGATGTATAGTACAAGCCTGGAACTGAGTGATGAGGTCTTGGCTAGAGTTAAAAATTTGAGACTCCATGACCTAGAGATACTATCTGATGCCAGGGAAGTGTGTGAGTTTGCTCAAGGAGAGAGTGTAGTTGCAATTAAAGTTTACAACCATGATCATCATTGTTACCATGGCCCCATCCCCATCATTGTCACTGGGTAGCATTTATGTAATGCTCTAAATAATTAAAAGCTTAAAAGTAATTTAATGTTTGTTCCCATTTAATACTATTTTATTTTATAGCTTGATCTTGCCTGAGGAAATACACTGTTAATATTGTTGGCTAATGACTGAGATACATTTAGCCCTAAAATTTAGCTTAAATGCTTGGTTGACACCTAATTTATCATTTCTTCATTTTCAGCTCCATGTTGACTGGGCTATTTGGAGCCTCAGCAGGTACCATCTTTGTTTATGGAAAAGATCTCAAAACAGACCTACACACTGTACGGAAGAACATGGGGGTCTGTATGCAGCATGATGTCTTGTTTAGTTACCTCACTACCAAGGAACACCTGCTCTTATATGGCTCCATCAAAGTTCCTCACTGGACTAAAAAGCAGCTGCACGAGGAAGTAAAAAGGTCAGTTATAGCAGCAACCAGGATGTGCATTGGTAACGCCTCTCAAAAAGAGGTCAAGCTATGGTAATAATGCCAGTATGAACATTTGGTCACAAAACAATTAGTTTTTAGTTTTTCTACTTTTCTGGTATTGTATACATTTTATGTCATTATCTTCACCAGCCAATTATTATACTGAAACTATATAAATCTCTTCATCTCAGGCTACCATATTGCCCTAAATCCTCTGTTTCTAATAGCTACTATACCAGGCCAAGTCTCCTGACTGGACACCAGGCTTCTCCTCTCCCTTATATAGTTTATCCTTCAAAGAGCAGCCAGGGTGACCTTTTTAAATGGCAGATAAGACCATATAACTCCAGAGTTCAAAGTCCTCTATGGCTTCCCACCACACTCAGTGTGGAACTCCGTAATGTCCTTGTCAAGGCCAAGAGGCCCTACATGCCTGCCGCATCTCACTTCTGATGTCATTTCCTTCCACTCTCCCCCCATTCACTGTGCTCTGGGCACACTGGCCAAGTCACAGGCTGGCTTATGTTCTGGTCACAGGGCTTCTCACTTACTGTTTCCTCTACTTAGAGCAGCCTTCCCCAAACAGCCATTTGACTCACACCTCCACTTTCCTGGTCTCTGATCAAATGTCACCTTCTCTGAGGGGATGACCATATATAAAATAGATGCTTAAAATAGCATGCCCCAGGCAATCCTTATCTCATGTACCCTGCTTTATGTATTTTTTATTGCACTTGTCACCACCTGGCAAATTATAAACTTACTTGGGAATATGTTTCTTGACTAAATTTTATCTGCATCCCTCCTGATACATACACACACTAGAACCTAATCTCCTTATGAGTAGGAATAGCATCTTCTCACTGCTTTCCTCTAGAAGCTAAAATGGTCTGGCACAAAACAGGCAGGCCCTCTGTAAATATTTTTCAGAGAAACAAATAAAAAAATGAGCCATATATTCCCTGGTGGTGTTTTCTGGGTATTAACTTTGTGCCTCCAACTAAATGATAAACAATAAAAAAAACTATATCATGAATCCTCAATAGTGTATTGCACCTTGCTGAGCACATAATAGTTGCTTAGTAAAGACCTATTAGTTAAAGTGCTTATTGTATTTTTTCAATATTCAAATATTTTATCTGTCAGAAATAACCACCATACATTATTTTTGAAGGACACTAAAAGATACTGGACTGTATAGCCATCGTCATAAGAGAGTTGGAACATTGTCAGGAGGAATGAAGAGGAAGTTATCCATATCTATAGCTCTTATCGGTGGATCACGGGTAGTCATTTTGGATGAACCATCCACTGGAGTTGACCCATGTTCTCGCCGAAGCATTTGGGATGTTATATCCAAGAACAAAACTGGTATGAGTATCCTCTTATAACTTTTGCACCCAGCAGGCCTAAATTTGCCCTCTGGGATGCATGCAACCAACTTTACGCCTTTTCTGTTTCAAAGCTCCATTAAGAGTCTCAGATGGGGTCTTCCCCTTCCCAATTCTTCTCTTCCCACCACTAAATTTCTGGGTCAGTTAGTTAATATCCATGTAGTTGAACATGGTGAGTTGAGCACTTCACTGGCCCTTCTGAGAGCATGCACATCTGATAGAAGTCCCAAATTCTGCCTCCAGGAGCTTAGAATCCAATTAGAGATACCAAAGATACACAAACGAAAATAAACTGAAAACAGACTAAACAAGTGCTAACAGGATGTGAAGCAAAGAAGCAATCAGAGTAGAGTGGATTAATCAGAGAGGAATATTCAAAAAGTCTTTAAAATTATTGCTTCTTTATAGTGAAGAAAGTGGGGGAGAGAGACAGAAACAGAGACAGAGGAAAAATGAAGACAAGGGAGCAAACTAAGGAAGGAGTTGCTAACATGCACACTCTAAATGACGGACATTTAGCCGTACAGCACGGCAAATGCTTATTCGCTGCCAACGTATAAGAAAACAGCCCTACATATTTAGTAACACCCCTTCTGAATTTCTCTTTGTTTATTCTGAAAGCTCCTTCTGGTCAGTTTTTCAGTTAGCTCATAAAATGTGCCTCTTCTCATAAATCTCAGGATTTACTTGTGCAAACTCTGTAGATCTCGGGAACTGTGTCTTAATTTTTCATTCTCAGTTGTTCTCCTCTGTATTTTCAAGCCAGAACAATCATTCTGTCGACGCACCATTTGGACGAAGCTGAAGTGCTGAGTGACCGCATCGCCTTCCTGGAGCAGGGCGGGCTGCGCTGTTGTGGGTCACCATTTTACCTCAAGGAAGCATTTGGTGATGGGTACCACCTCACGCTCACCAAGAAAAAGGTTTGTAAGAGAGAAAATACACCTCATTATAGAGTCATAAATTAATTTTTGTGTGAAATGGAGGCAGAATCTCTCCAACCTTATTAATTGCTAAAATTCATCATTAATATGCTAGTTTCATGTTTCTCAAACTTAAGGGAGCATCAGAACACCTGGAGGTCTTGGTTGAACCCAGATTCCTGGCCTCACCCCAAAAGTCTCTGATTCATTAGGTCTTAGATGGGGCTTCACAATTGACTACATTTCTAACAAAAGCCCAGGTGATGCTGATGCTCCTGGTCTGGTATCTCACAACGAGAACCAGGTCACTAGGTTTTTACCTTAGGATATAGATCCTTTTTTAGAGGATCTATATCCTTAAGTTACTGATGGAGGATCAGCCTTTTAGTTTCCCTAGCATTTCAGTCTATAAGGCTAAAAATTAGATTTTTTGCATTAAAGCAAATAAAGAGAATATGCAGTTGTGTATGCACCTTCTCATCAGTACCCCTCAAGTGGCAATGTGAAGACTAACTAGGCCAATGGTGCTTGGACATCTTTGAAGAACAGCTGCTGACTAAGGACCCCGTGCCACCTAAAAATAGCATATGATTATCAGTACTGTGCAAGATGTGTATGCCATTAGGTTGGCTTTGACTACAATCGTTTATTTTATATCTGAACATCCTGATGTGACTTACAAATAAAAAGCAGTTTATTTTTATATTCATTAATTCATTAAGAAATATATATATATCAGGTGTGTATTATGCCTTAGTGTGTGCTCAAGTCACTGTTCTAGACCTTGGTGATACAGCAGCGGACTGATGATATTAAAATCTCTACCCTCGTGGAGTTTATATTCTGATAGAGTGTGGGGAATTCAGATAATACCATTGTTAAGTGTATTATTAAGTCTATTATTGGGTGATAAATGCTGTGGGTAGAAATAAAGCAGAGGGGGAATAGGGAATGCCGAGTGGTGCCGTTTTATGAAGGGTAGGAGGAGAAGGGTCTCTGAGAAGATGACAGTTGAGCAAGAGTTAGGGCTTGGGAGAGAAGGAGCCATGTCATTATCTGGGGGCAAAGGAACAACAATTGAGAAGGCCCCGAGGAGGGTGTGCCTGAGGGCAGAACACTCCCACAACACAAAGCAGCTGTTGTGGCTGAAGTAGAGCAGATGAGAGGGCAGTGAGTAGTGGGCAGTGAAGCCGGAGAAGGGACAGGGGCAGGCGGGAGAATGGAGCCAGTAGAACAGTGACTTGGGACAGGGAGCCGTTGGAGGAGGGATGTGTCATCTGACTCAGGTCTGGGTGGCCTGAAAGAGTCTCACCACCCTCTGATGAGGACCCTTGGGCATCACTGTGGTGTGAGGACAGAGGAGTGGTAACTTCCGGTTTTGTCCCTAGAGTCCAAACCTAAGTGCAAATACAGCATGCGACACGACAGCCGTGACAGCAATGATCCGATCGCACCTCCCTGAAGCCTACCTCAAGGAGGACATCGGGGGAGAGCTGGTGTATCTGCTTCCTCCATTTAACACCAAAGTCTCAGGGGCCTACCTGTCACTCCTGAGGGCACTGGACAATGGCATGGGTGACCTCAACATCGGGTGCTACGGTATTTCAGACACCACCGTGGAAGAGGTGACTTTCTTCTTTTTGAAGCTGATATAACTTGCTGTTCCCTGAGAATAAATATGCACAGTTCTTTAAAAATAGAAAAGAAATATTTTAAATAAACCTTTCACAACATCAGAAAATCTTCAAACTATCTCAGTACCGTTCTTATGTAAGAGTGACTTCTGAAAACAAAGATGTTTATCCAGTTAGAGAACACGTATCTTTCACATACCAAAGTGTTTACGTAGAGGGGGTGGGGGATGACTGAAACAGAGGAAGGGGGTTAAGAGATACAAACTTCTAGACATAAAATAAATAAGTCACAGAGATGAAAAGTACAGCACAGGGAATATAGTCAATAATACTGTAATAAAATTGTATGGTTAAAAAAAATGTTCACTCAAAGTCACTTTTAAAAATATTTAAAGTCACACTTGTTTGTCTCAATAAATGTGATAAAAATTCAAAATCAAACTTGAACTTAGGAAGTAGAAAGGACGTGCATGTTTTATGTTAATGAAGTGTTCCTGGCTTCTCTTTCTAGGTCTTTCTGAACTTGACTAAACAGTCACAAAAAAATAGCAGTATGAGTCTTGAGCACTTAACACAAAAGAAAATTGGAAATCCCGGTACCAATGGCATCTCAGCTCCCGATGATTTATCTGTGAGCAGCAGCAGTTTTACAGACAGAGATGGTATAAATCTAATGTGCATGTTTTGCTTAATTCCCATAAATGACGTAAAGGAGAAAATCACAGGGCAAAAATTCAGCTTGACATTTTCTTTCTAAATTCAAAAGGAATAAAGAAATATAAGCTTTCTTTTTTTAATATAGCAAGTATTTGTTAAATGAAATCAAATTCTCTATTTCAAAAATATTTCAAAGAATGGGAGAGAACTTGCTTGTTAGGGTGGTGGTGTGTACTCCTTATACCTGCCGAAATTCATTTTCAAGGTGTTTACTACAGTTTCAGATTTGTGTTAGACAAGTTAAAATCCTTCCTGTAAATGCTGCTGTCCAATAATGGACAAAATTACCTTGTAAGGTAGCTGACTCACTGCTATTAAACATATTCAGCAGAGGAGTCATCGGAAAAAAGTTATAAAAAAAGAGTCATCACTCTTTATGGGGCCTTATTGGGAAACATGTCTAATCTTTCCCTTCTGTGAACAGTTCAGGTGATGAGAATATTCAGGCTCTGAGGAAATGCTTTTGGGGGAGGGTCTCAGATTTGATGAAGTCAGACTCAATGGCTAAGAACCTATAATAATAGGTTCCCCCCCACCCACCCAATTCCTCACACAAGACATGTTTGAAAAATTGTGCTTCTTGATATGACTTTGAGGAATTGGCCTCTTTTGAAAATAACTTTTATCCTCTCTTATTCCCTTTCTGACAGTTAATTTCTGCCTTTGGAAACACTATTTACTTAAGGAAGCATATAGTAAAATGATGTATAAATTATGGAATAGTCATTTCAACAGTTTGCTTAACTTGGAAAAAATCTCTAGGAACAGAACTTTTAATTAAACATTCGCCTGGCTCTAAAACTTAGAAAAGATCATCTCTGATGTTTGCATAGTTCTGGAACTTGGGAGTCTCATTTGTCCTCTGCCACATTCCTCATTTATCATCTTTTGGGGAATATAATTGTCGAGCCCATGTAATTGAGGACTTTGATTAGAAAGTGGTCATCTGCTTCAGGAAGTAAATGTTACGTATTTGCCTCTGCATTTGTCTCATAATTTGAAACTATTCTTCAGTCAAAATGTTTCCCTCACTGACATTATCTTTTAGCAGGCACATTTGCTCCATTTGATACACCTGTAAGTCATCCACATGTAATTTCTCAAGAAACAGAAAAGCATACTAATTAACTTAAAATATTCAGCTCCTACAATTCCCCTTTGCAGAGATATGAGTTTGCATTTAAACTTGTTCACTCTGTTTAATTGGAATTCATTTTAAATTAAGCAGCTTTGTATTTTTCCTTATCAGCTAAATGAAGATCATGATTTTTTGTGCTGCATAATTTGTGATGGAGAATTAAAACTATCCACAGAGTTGACAGTCATCTTATCTCATGTAGAGGAGTGCTCGGCGGCAGGCCGTCGGAGAGAATGTAACATTTTTAGGGAGGGCTATGGAATTATCAGTTGTAAGAGCACCATAGAGGAAGCAACAGTTTATGGCTTCCATGGCTCCTCTTATGTTCAGAAGCCAGGGAATTTTTCTCCACACCTGAAGAACATTTCACGGGGTTGGGGGTAATGTAGACATTTTTTTCCAATGAGTTCTTTTTTGTGACTCTGGTGGTAAAAATGGAGTTTTGAAATGCCATATATAATCAGTCCAGATGTCTAAAGAGAATGTAATGAATGAATGTTTGAACTAGAATCACACTTTGGAGGAGAGCATTTCCCTTTTCCCAAGTGTAAGGAGAATTCACAGGACCTCACCTTAGAATGAGAGCCAGTTAGGCTTATAATCACTAAGTTACCCACAGTAGGAATGAGTTTTTAGACTAGGCAGATGTTTTGGTTGCCATTTATCTTCTTTTTTTAAACTGAAGTTACACGTTGTATTAGTTTATGTCATATTAGTTTCACGTGTTGGTTTCTGTTTATCTTACTGAATTTAGTCTCCTGATAGAAGCTATCTCTTGAGTATCAGTAATTAGCAATACATACCTAGCAGGCATTGAGACTTTGGAGATCGGGGACAATATTCATTTATCAAATTGTGGATCTCTCCTTTTGACGTGTAAAATGATTATGTATGTAACTACTAATATTTTGTACATAGTGATTTATAATTTACAAAGCATTTTACATAAAACTCTATGACTTGGAGAGGCTCAGGCCCAAAGTTTAAAAAAGAAGAGCTGAACCTCATATCAGAACCTTTAAAATACAAGCTGTTCCTACCACATCACATTATACCATCCACCCATGTTTTTTGAAGTTACCTTGTAATGTGATTTATCATGTTTCCCAGAACCATATCAAACCTCTCTCTCTCTCTATTTCTCTCCACCCCCCACCTTTTTTTAATCAGACAAAATCCTGACGAGGGGAGAGAGGTTGGGTGGTTTTGATCTGTTACTGAAGAAGATCATGGCTATCCTCATTAAGAGGTTCCACCACACCCGCAGGAACTGGAAAGGTCTCATTGCTCAGGTTATCCTCCCCATCGTCTTTGTCACCACTGCCATGGGCCTTGGCACACTGAGAAATTCTAGCAACAGTTATCCAGAGATCCAGATCTCCCCATCTCTCTACGGTACCTCTGAACAGACAGCCTTCTATGCGTAAGTTTCTCTCCTTTAAAACATCTCCCCAGTGCCTCCAGATGTGCGGCTGTGCCCCCATGACTGCAATGCTGAAGAATAAAGAATTATGAGGCGCTGTACCTGATTCTGCCAAAGGAATGGACAGTTTTGATTTATTGCAACATGACACTTCTATTGCCAACGAATAACTTTTTAAGAGTTCCTGTGTTTGTCTGAAAGTAAATTTATTGTAGGTCTTTATTTTTAATGACTAGACTTTAATCAAGAAAGCCAGGCTAGGTGTGGCTTCCCAATCTGTTGTAATATATAGCAAATAATTTTTTAATGGCCTCACAAATATACGATAGTAGGTCAGAATTCTGCATAATTTGGTATTATTACATATATACAATAGGTGATCACTAAATGTATGTAATGGTTAGGAAAATAACAAGGCAGCTGAAGAGGGTATGTGCTGATTTTTTTCCATGATACTTATTTTTTTTCCTGATACTGAGTCTTTCTCGGGTTTTTAAGAAGACTATCCCATACAGCATGTTTTATTTTTCCAAATTATTCATAAGTATGACTTTAATATGGAAGAGTAGTGGAGGATCACAAATTTGTTCCTATCCTTTACTATTATAGGAATTCTCACCCAAGCACACAAGCCCTGGTCTCAGCACTATGGAACTTCCCTGGCATCGACAACATGTGTTTGAACATCAGTGATCCGTAAGTGGTTCTCGGGTTTTTTTGTTTTCTTTTCCCTTTCTTTTTGACACTCCAGTTTGTGCATGTACATGTGCATGTGTGGACGAATGGGTGTGTGTTGTAGGCTGGAGAAGTGCCGCCCCTGAGAGAGATCTGTATGGAACAGATTTTCTCTCTCCCCTCTAGTTCATTCCGTGGCTATGCTGTGCTGTAATAATAAACATTAGGGGCATTATAATTTGTACAGTTCTCTCCTGTACATATTTCCCTTTAACAGTCACAACAACCCTGTGAATTATTAATCCCATTTTTAAGATGGAGAAACTGAGATTCATGAAGACTGAGATACTTGTCAAAAAACAATCTAGATTCTAAGTTGTGCAGCTAAAACTAAGACACAAGTCTTCGGACTCCAATCCCTGTCTTTGCGCTATGTAGTGTTTCCTATTCGAACTTCCAAGATGGTACATGGTGCATGTGAACCTGACATTGGTGCATTATTTTGCTAAAGTATCCCCTTCCTGTCAGAGGACAGGATGAAAGAGCAGAGAAGAAAGGGGTCAAAAAGCCCCATCCTGCCACATTAAAACAATTCAATGAGCTTTGGTTTCAACACTGTTCTATCGTAAGTGTCCTCTCTTATCCCCTGTAAAATGTCAAATCATTTGAAAATGGTAGTGTAATGTATATTTGAGTTATGAAAAACCAGCAAACTGTACCTAAGACTGTATACCTGAATTTAATACCAAATACTCGCTTATATGCTCATACATAAACATGAGAACACACACATACCTCACTCATTTTTACTTGCAGAAGGTGTTTAAAGGAAGACAGTCTGGGAAAATGGAACACCAGTGGGGAGCCTATCACTAATTTTGGTGTTTGCTCCTGCTCAGAAAATATCCAGGTAAGATGGAATTCCATTTCAGTGAAGTAGGAAAAAGAAAGGAATAAATATTGAAACTTGAAAGATCTATCCAGGTTACCAAAGAGTCAGTATAATTTCATTTTATGGAAGCTAGTAGCTCAGAGATGTGGAACAGGGCAGCTCAAAAATATTGCCTTTGAACTTCAGGTCACTGTTTTAAATCCATCTCAGAACAAATTTCCAAAGGTAGGTAATTCTATGACAGTCTTTGTGGAAACCAACTAAAAATGAATTTTTGGTCTCAGTTCAGTTCTAACCAGAAAGTTCTATGTTTCAGACAACAAAGCCACCACAACTGTCATATTTGAAAACAGAGTAAGACTGCCCATTTGGTGGTCAGCTATGAAGTCAGTAATGTGTAAGTCCAGAACAGAACTCCATTTGTCTCTAAGGAGCACCTCCAGCATGCAAGAAAAATTCACGGTCTGATAGAAACAGAAAAGATTATCCAGCCATCCCTTATGCCATCTGTATTTTATGGATACACACCTTACTTTTCTGGGCCTATCAATTCAACATACTTTTAAGAAAACCAAATTCACTGGGGAAATGAAAGATTGTTGAAGAGGAGAGGTTACTGCTAGTTTCTGAGAGTGACTTTGTGGTCAACTTACTTCCCCACAGTAGAGGAATCTAGCAATATTTTCTTAATAGCATTATATCATTGAACCTTGAACTCTTTGCACAATATTTTGGAATGAAATGTTTTCTGTAAATGCGACCTATTATTGTGTTCTCATGCAAGACAGTTACTACCAATGAAAGCAGGGATTCCACAAGCATCTTCTGGAATCCTTGCATATTTCAATACCAGCATTACCCAGTACTCAAAGAGTTTTCTAATCCCTCATTTAATCTGGCTAATTTCTGAAATTCTTAATGTATTTTCTGTAGTTCACAGTAAGAGTCAACTAACTTAGTATTTAAAGTTGGAATCTAGGGGCGCCTGGGTGGCTCAGTTGGTTAAGCGACTGCCTTCGGCTCAGGTCATGATCCCGGAGTCCCAGGATCGAGTCCCACATAGGGCTCCCTGCTCGGCGGGGAGTCTGCTTCTCCCTCTAACCTTACCCCCTCTTGCGCTCTCTCTCACACTCTCTCTCTAATAAATAAATTAAAAAAAAAAAAAACTAAAGTTGGAATCTAGATAAATTTCGTTAATCAAAGGAAAAAATGAGAGAGAGAAAAAGCAAGAAACAGACTTTTTAATTATAGAATAATCTGATGGTTACCAGAGAGGGTGGGGTGGGGGATGGGTGAAATAGGTGATGGGGATTAAGGATCTCACTTGCTGTGATGAGCACAAGGTGATGTATGGAACTGTTGAATCAATATATTGTATGCCTGAAACTAATATGACATTGTATACTAACTAACTGGAGTTAAAATAAAAACTTTAAAGAAATATATAAATAAATCACCAAATATGTATATAAAACTTTTGACAGTACCTAATACTGCTGAAGATATACATAAACTATGGGATCAGCAATTCCATTCGTATTATATTCCCATCAGAAGTGTGAATATGTTCACTAAGAGGAATGTATTAGATATTCATAGAAATACTATTTGTAATAGCCACTCAGATTCCCACCAACAGTAGAGTGGATAAATCAAATGTAATGGATTTTCACATTGGAATTCTATATACAGCAAAATGGGAATGCTTGATCTACAACTATACACATTATATGGAGGATTCTCACAAGTGAATGATGAGTGGAAAGAGCCAGATACAAGAGAATATACATAATACGATTCCATTTATATTAAGTGCAAAAACAGGCAAAACTATTCTGTGCTGGATACTTTGGGAGTGGTAGTGATTGGAAGGAAGCTTGATGAGGGGCCTTCTCCAGTACTTGCATTGTTTTGTTTCCCGATATGGTTTCTGGTTACAGGGGTGTGTTCAGTTTGTAAAAAATGCATCAAGAAGCATACTTATATGTGCTTTTCTGTATATATAATTCAACAAAAGATTAAAGTTAATAATTACATTGCATACATAAGGTGTCTATAACTGTGGAATCAGTAGCATTCTATAAATGTGATCTAACTGTTGACCCAACTTGATGTGTAAGGTGAAATTCAGCATTCATTTTTTAGAGCAGTCTGCAACTTTATGCTCTCAGTGCACATGTGGTGCTAGCCTCAGGCTCTGGGACATCATGTGAAGGGATGGAAGGAAAAACTGGAAAAATGCTAGGCTTCTCCCAAACTAAACTTCATGTCAGAGAAGCATGGGAAGCTTCAGTGAAAAGTAAGTGGTCAGGAAGTGCAGAAAGCTTATGAGCATAAAAATAAGTGGTTAAAACTAAGCTCTGAGGTTGGTTAATAGTGATGTACCAATGCATTTAATTTTGACAAATATGCAATGACAGTAATGTAAGATGCTAATGGGGAGAACTGGGTGAAGAGTATACAGAAACTCTATTAAATTTGCAATATACATACGTGTGCATATAGAACTATATAAGCAAATTTGCAATATAAACAAAATTTATTTTGGTATAACTTTAAATTTACATATGTAAAGATTAGGTTTAGATTTATTTAACATTAAGTTATATAGTTTAGATGTATGTAAACTTGAGCTCTGACACTCAGGTTTGGTACCTTAAAAACAATACAATACAAACTCATCCACTGCTGTCCCCTGAGAACTTATGTCCCTTAATGTCATCTTTTCAATTCTGGGCAAACATTTTTTTCTTCCCTATAAACTATTGAGGGAATTTTGAGTTATCTTAGAGTTTAATGTTATTCTCCATGCATATCAAACTTGTTAGTACAGTGAAAAGAAAATTGCACATTGGTTAAGTTGTATTCTTTTTGGCTTCAAGTGAGTCCTAAACATATGTATGTGTTCTATATAAATAATAACTACTCTAATTTCTTGGAATAGGAAGATGCCTTCCTTTTCAAAGCTCTTCAGAGTCAGAAGACAGTCTTATCACACTCCACCTGTTGCAGCAATAGACAAGTTGCGAGACCAAAACTTCTTGACATTGTCTATTTGATTTGCAAAGCATCGAAGAACTTAATTTTTAACTTTATTTTTCAGGAGTGTCCTAAATTTAACTATTCTCCACCTCATAGAAGAACTTACTCTTCTCAAATAATTTACAACCTCACTGGGCACCGCTTGGAAAATTATCTTATATCAACTGCTAATGAGTTTATGCAAAAGAGGTAAAAATACTCTATAATATATTAATTTAGCATATCTTGCTTTCAAATTTTAATGGCAACTGCCTTCTGAACTTGAGACAATAGATGAAAATTTCTGGGGCACCTAGGTTGTTCAGTCGGTTAAGTGTCTGACTCTTGGTTTCGGCTCAGGTCATGATCTCAGGGTCTTGAGATCAAGCCCTGCATCAGGCTCCCCGCTCAGCAGGGTGTCTGCTTCTCTTCTCCCTCTTCCTCTGCTCCTCCCCCTGCTCATGCTTTCTCTCTAAAATAAATAAATCTTTTTAAAAAATAGATGAAAATTTCTATTGATCATTTACGTGGTTAAATTCTCTATTTTATCAAAACAGTCTTATGTGTGAAAATTCTTTAAAAAATATCAACTTCCTCAAATTAAGACTCATTTTAAGAAACTAAAAAGCACTGGGTTTTTTTTAGGCTGCAAAAAATGTATTGTTAAACTTGTACATATTTTTTTTCCTTGAGACAAAAATGTTATTGACTAGATTAGGCCAATTTGGAGAGGTTTTTTTTTTTTTTTTTTTTAACTCGATCCCACGACCCTGGGATCATGGCCTGAACTGAAGGTAGACACTTAACCAACTGAGCCACCCAGGCATCTCCAGTTTGGAGAGTTTTAGGGCATGGCTTTAGGTGACAATTGACCTTAGTTCCAATATAAATATCTCAAATTTAGATTATGCTGTATGTGGATAAAACGTGTCCATGTATAGCAAGGCCGCAGGCTCATACCTAAGCCACCTAAAGGTTTGCCATGGGTGTAAGGTTGGTAGGCTTGTATTTGGGATACTGTGGATGGATCTGGAGGACACTGTGTATGCTAAGTGAAATAAGCCAGACACAGAAAGGCAAATACTGCATGATCCCACTTGTATGTGGGATCTGAGATAGTCAAACTCACAGAAGCAGAGAGTAGAATGGTGATTGCCAGGGTCTGGGGGTTTCGAGAAATGGGGAAATGTTGGTCAAGAGCTACAAAGGTTCAGTTATGCAAGATGAATAGATTCTGGAGAGCTAATCGAGAGCAATGTGACTGTGGTTAACAATACTGTATTGTATACTTGAAATTTGCTAAGAGGATGGATCTTAAGTGTTCTCACCACACACATACATACACGCACAGGCATGCATGTGCACACAAAAAGAAAATGGTAACTGTGTGAGGTGATGGATATTTTAATTAGCTTGATTGTGATTATTTCACACTATATACATGTATCAAAACATCACGTTGTACACCTTGAATATCTACAATTTTTATTTGTCAGTTATACCTCAAATAAGGCTGGGGGAGGGAGAGTTGGTCATTTTGCAAATAGCTACTGTTTCATCCTTTCCTCTATCTCTTCCCTCTTTTATTTCTCAATGTGCACAAATTACTGATGTTCACTGTAAAATAATTAGGAACTACATATAAGCAGAAATAAAACCAGATATAACCACTATTGATTGTATATCCTTACAGAAATTTTCTAGACACAGATACATGTAAATATTTTCAACAAAATGAGGTTTATTATAAACAAACATTTCTAAAACCTGTTTTTTAAAAAATAAACAATATACTGTAGTGTTCTTTGCATGTCAAAAATACAGCTCTATTGGGCGCCTGGGTGGCTCAGTCGTTAAGCGTCTGCCTTCGGCTCAGTTCATGATCTCAGGGTCCCGGGATCGGGCCCCACATCGGGCCCCCTGATCAGCGGGAAGCCTGCTTCTCCCTCTCCCACTCCCCTTGCTTGTGTTCCCTCTCTCGCTGCCTCTCTCTCTCTGTCAAATAAATAAATAAAATCTTAAAAAAAAATATATAGCTCTATAACATCACATTTAGGATGATAGTCACAAGATTAGTCTTGTGTAACTACACATTGTTTGTTTAACAAACCTAATTTGGGACATCTAAACTAATCTCTTCTTAAAATTACTGTTTGAATTTTTTAAATCCACTTTTTATTTTTAAGAGACTATGAACTGATGAGTACCCGGCAATTATATAGGCACAATTCACCTACAGATACCCCGGAAGAGAAAAAGTACATAGCACCAGGGGACAAGCTAGGGGGAAAAGTCTGGAGAATCGAAGAAAACAGAGCCATTTGAAAAAATATGAGAACTGATCTTATATCACTTGAGTATTAAATCACTTCTTTAAAAAGTATTTTTAAGGGCTAAAATACTATGATTTTTGAGATGGTGCATGATCCAGTTAAGTTGAAGGAATTGGTTAGATTACATATCACTTATTTTCAGAATGATTACTCCATATTTGCAATCATTTAAAAGGACTTTTTACTTCTAGTTATAATGTACACTTTAGATTAAAATATGATAAGAGAAATCAATAAAAATGTAAAATATTTGCCAGGCAGTATTTATTTCATACTTTAAATGTGTTCCTAATGGAAAGAAAACATTGAGCCCTTGGTTAAACAATTTAGGTCCGTTTATGAATATTTTCTCCTTTAAAAGAAATATAAATTTTGTTATTCTATATAGGTATGGAGGTTGGAGTTTTGGGTTGCCTTTGACTAAAGACCTTCGTTTTGATATAACAGCAGTTCCTGCCAATAGAACACTTGCTAAGGTAAATTATAACCTTTCTTCTGGGATGTCATACAAATGAGAATGTGAACTTGAAATGTTCAAGCATTTTCATGAGGCCAAAACAAAACATGGGTGCAATCAAGTTGAGAAGCTGTTTGGCATAATGCTTTCCCTGTAGCACCAGGGTTCAGTCCTGTGTATTTACCCCAGGGAAACACAAGCACCAGGGTACATATACAAAAATTTACATAGTAGTGTTTCTCATATTAGCCAAAAACACAACCCCAAATGTCCATATACAGTAAAATAAATGAATTGTTGTGTATTCATTCAATAGAACTTTCAGCAATGAAATGAGCTCAGTTCCATACAAGCAGGTAAATATCCCAAACATTACTAATAAGCAAAAGAAAAAACAAAAAGAAACACTTAACTATGATTGCATATGCCATAAACTTTAAGAGTAAGCAAAACTCAATCATATTGTTTAGAGAGAATATCATGATTTTGAGGGACACAGAGAATCCCGGAGAAGATGTTCTGGATGCTGGCAATTTTTGTTCCTCAACTTGAGTGATGGTTCAATGGGCGTACTCCTTTTATAATTTTTTATTAAGCTATACATTAAAGTTTTATGCATATTTCTTTACGTATGTGTCATGTATGGTTATCCTTGTTTCTTACAGAACATGGTTACTTAACAGAATTTGATGGAGATAAATACTCCTATTGGCTTTCCTTTCTTTTTTTTTTTTTTAAACTAGATCACACCTATGCTTTGAAACAAGCTAGAGTCACAGACTCACACATATATGATCTATAGGAGTCTAAGGAATTTTAAACCGTCCTTCACATATTTCTCATTTGGTAGTAAGAGACATATATAGACTTGGGGGAAGTAGAGAAACTAATATTTATTTAGTAACTGTGATAAGCCAAGGACTAGAATCACCCGTTACACAAACTACCCGATTACATCCTCACAACATTCCTATGAGATAGATATTATGGGGCCTATTTTAACTGATTTTCCTAAGGTCATATAGAAAGTAGACAGTAGAGTTGGAGATTTGAATGCCCTCCCCGCACCATTTGTTCCTTTTCTTTCTCTCTCCACACACAGAGTCAACATTCTTGTATAAACAAAGAGTTCTAATATTAAATAACTTCTCTCATGTAATTTTAAATTATCAATTGGGTTTCTTGAATTGAAACACAGCAGTATTTTAAAACGCTCTGTTTTTGACAGAGAAGGTAAATACCATAACTCACTTCCGTGTGGGTTATAACTAGGAATGGAAAGTTAGTGCTAGAATTTCCAGATTATCAGTCTTTGCTAAGGATACAATGTTTGTGTATGTATTTAATTTCTTTGTACAGCCCGGCCTAGATGCCATTTGTTGTTATTATTATCATTATTGAGGATGCCTTAGCTGTAGTCCCAGAATCCCTATGCACTCACTAGCCACAGAGATGGAGATATTAACGATTTCTCCAGTTTATTTCCAGTTTTGCCTATGGAGAAGGTACAGAGTAACTAATAACTTACTGCTATCACACAGGGGAAACAAAATGTTTTTCCCAATCTATGCCCATCTCTAAATTGGAAACATAGAGGTGTGTAGTCAACACTCTGGGGAATGGTTCTAATCTTCCAAGATAAAATAAGTTATTGGAAAATTGGTGCTCTTCTTTTAAATATAAATTCTGTGGGCTGTCAGATGTAAAGCAGCCTAATTTATTTGAACACAATATTGATCTTGCCTCCTGTTGGAATTTAACAGGTATGGTATGATCCAGAAGGCTATCACTCACTTCCAGCTTACCTCAACAGCTTGAATAATTTCCTCCTGCGAGTTAACATGTCAAAATACGATGCTGCCCGACATGGTAAAGTTACTTCTGCAGAAGCTTCTGATATTGCAACTTTTGCCTCTCTCCATTTAAAAATGCATGTTAGATCCCGTTTCCTCCAGGTATTTTATGGTATCTAAATCACAGATCTTTAAAAGGAGTCTGAAAATACTACCAGATGGAACATTCTGGATAATCTCCTTAACTTCGGGTTAATTTAGTTTCCTCATTTATCAAGTTAGGATAATGCTTACTTCATCCTTATTGCTGCTCTCACATCTAGTAACTACAACTCATAGGAAAATATTTTATTTCTATTTATTTGTATATAGGCTAAGAAATTAAAAATACTTAAATGTTAATAATTCTAAACATGAAGCCAGAACTTTTAAACTAAAGAGTTCTGCACCTGACCCAAACTGTTGCCATTAATTGAGCACTTACCATATGGTATGTGCTTTATATGAAATATTGCTAATCCTTAAAAACAGCCTTTTAGGATGAATATTATTGGTCTCTGCTATTATTTCTCTAGGGCTCAGAAGTGAGATTTGAACCCAGGTCTGTCTGACTCCTGCCTCTTCATTTTTCTAATACTTCTCTGAACTCAGCCAGGTCTCCTTCCATTGGATTTTCCAGGAGGCATCCACATAGTTTTCAAAACAGGGTTTGGGATTTGAAAGAGACTGATTTACTTTTTTCTAATTCAATTACTATTCTTCAAACCATTTCATCTTCTTAAGCCTGCTCAAATTATTTTCCCATAGTGATCCTAAAAATTAATAATAATTGGAGAAAAATGAGTAACCTATTTGCTGGTCAAGACTGAGTTTCTAGCCAAATAAACAGGCTAACAAATAGCCCTATTAAATAGAAAAAAAGACACAACATATCTTTCAGAAATGCCAACATCTGTTTTTCTTTCATCTCCTTACTGTTGGGCAGAATAGTGTGTCCTAGGTATTCTGCTGATTGTAGAAGTAAATTGCAGAGTCAAATACTCATTCTAGCAAGAGAATCCTTCAGTCTTCATTTTAGAGACAACAGTATTTTCTTCCCAACTACTTTGGCATTTTCCTAGCAGGAGGAACCATGAAGAAAATAACAAGACTGATAGATGGTCCTTAGATCTAGAGCATCAATAAAGGGCATAGTCAAAAGCAGCAAATTAAATTAAATGGTAACTAAAGCCGGGTGGGTTTAGTATAACCTGGTTTGAAATATGATGGAACACTTGACTTTGAGTAGGATGTCTTCATCAGAACAAAGGGTGTTTGTTTCTGTGACAGATAATGAAAGTGTAAGAGCTGTAGAAATGCTAAATAGGTGAGAACAAGAGACCAATGCCACTTTTGAAGAATCGGCTTTTGAAACCTGGATCACTGTGGACTCTAGCAGGCTTGTTGTGGTTCCTAGCACTGCATTTTTTAAGTTACAGAATTTAAAGAATTAAGGATTCTGGAACATAAACTTTATATTGACCCTAAAAGGAAATTTATATTTTAGGTTTAAAAATAAGGCTTAGTTTGAGTTATATGGCAATTAGTAGTAATGTGCCATATATATACATATATATATATTTTTTTTCCTTAACTTTTCTTGTGTAGACTCATGAAAGTGATAGCTTTCCACCCTCTTGGGAAGGAGTTTGATTTTCTTCAAAGAAGAAATCATGTCACCCTAAAATACTTTTATTGTTTTTTTAATGCCTGTGTGGGGTCTGCCATGGTAATACTGTCTTTAAAAATCAACTCAATTACTCTCCTGCCTTCTCCCTCCCCCAATGACACTAGCTGTTTTAAGGCAAGTTTGTTGAATTCTGAATGAATTGGGATTTTGCTTAGCTGTAAAATTGATTTACTTTTAATTCTATAATGCTAGTAAATATCTTTTAATTAGTTTTCCTTTGCGATGTCAATATCTATTATTTTCATGGGGTTCCCTCTAGTGGTTAATTTAACATGAAACTTGTTTTCTTCTCAAACAATATAGGTTTGCTTGTTTTCTCTAACAAATGTTCTACAACTACGCTCTTTTCCAAATATACTGACACACCATTCCCTCCACCCTCATGTTCGTTCTAACCCTTTATTGCATTAATATTAATGGTCAATGGGAAGCATCTCATTTTAGGTTGACAACTTATAGAGAGAGTAGAAACAAATAATGTGTTATTTTTAATGTATATTGTATATGGGGGACATCATTGAAATTTTAAGATTCAATTTGATTTAATAAGTATTCATTGACTGATCACTGTACTCCAGACATTATGCTGGTTGCTATAGAATCCACAGAGAAGATTTCCATATGCATCCTTAACTCTAATGCATTTACTTGAGCTTTCTGCTAAAAATATGTATAAAACAATTGGTTCAGCAGCATTTTTCATAGTGGAGTAAATGCATTTGCAAAGATTCCTCTGGTGAAATAGAGTAAGTTCTTGATTCTGAAATACCAAGCAGAAATAAAAGAAATGTTTTCCCCCTGCCTATATTATAGTTCGGCAATAAGGTTTAACTAGGGCCCCAAGGAAAACTGAATCTCAGTAAAACAGAGAGAGCATTAATTTACACAAAAGATAAGAAAACTGCATTCCCCTATGATGTGATTAAAGTTATAGGCCTCATTGATTATTGTCAGTTTCTTTGTTTTGCTTTAATTTATTTTTTAACATGTAACAATTGCAGAATTCAACCTCAAAATATGTCACATTGTACTTAGTAAAAATTATAAATTTAAGTTAATGGGGACAATATAACTTTAGAATAATTTCTATTTGGCTGCTGTGAAAGGGTCTTAATATCCTGATATAATAAACATATACTATATGAGCAGTAAGTGAGAAAGTTCTGGCTTGGCTTCGGACTCTATATTTTATTAGCCATTTTCACTATGGCTAACTATGGCTACCAACATCCTCTGATAAGGGGAGAAAAGAACTTTGCTTCTAACTCAGAAACTATAACTGACTATGGGACATCCCGATAATTTAGGATTGTATTGGATTTAAGTGACTACTTTTTCAGAGCCAGCTAGTTTCTCTGAATTCTCTTGGATCTTTATGTCTCAATGAAAATCCCTCATTTTGGAATTGGGAATGGAGGTTTCCCTTACCCTGGTAGAGTTCTAGAACAATAGTTATCTTGGAAGTAGTAAAAGAGGAGGGATCTTCTCAGGCTACAGTATTTTCCCAGCAAAAGACAATAAACAGGGATGGAGTGGTCAGTGTTTTTTAGGAGATCCTCATATAATTCGTCTAAATACCAATATAATAAGTGCTACTGAAATACAAACATGTGATTAGATGGAGAGAATAAAAGGGAAAACAAAAATGTAATAGAGGGGAAATGCTATATAAGAAATGTAAATTCTTGCCCCTTTTACCAAAATTCCATACACAATGTGAAAGCATTTTTTTTTTTTTTGTCTTTTATGCGAGTGCCATTAATTGTATGGCATTGATGAGACTGGGTGGGGGGAAATAATTTTCCTTAAAAATAGTATCCCCAAAGTAAAATTATAGCATAAGGAGGAAAGTATTATGTATTATTCATCCAAAAATTGGTATTTCTGAGTATCTATTAATGAAAAGAACTGTCTCTTCTTTAAGGCATCATCATGTATAGTCATCCCTATCCAGGAGTGCAAGACCAAGAACAAGCCACGTAAGTAGAAATATCTGGCATGACTACTCACTCCTCGGCATATAGTCAAGCCTCTATATAAAGTACTATAATTGGAAATCACGGTTGTATCTGAATGAATGTCAATCTAGAAGTGCTGTTTATATAAGTCACTGACCGGGGTAAAAGGAAGTTTCTGAAAGTCTGTACAGTGAGGTTGCCAAGTGAGCTTGCTGACTAAAGAGTCAGAATCTGCTGCTTTTATAAGTCAGGTGTGTAAGTGCTTCATCATTTCAATTTCCCTGCATAGCATTTAAGTACTATTTCTATGCTCAAGAACTGTATATTCCTTGGATACATCCGGTAACTCTTGGAGACCGGGGTTTATTTATTTATTTTTTTACCAAATATCCCTAGTCAATTCCAATGCACTAGAGCTACATTTATCTGGGGTCATAGCCGAGTCATGTAGAAGATACTATCTGGCTGCCTTGCAGGAAGACTTATTTGTGTCAGAGCCAAGTCTTCCACTGTTTCGTTGATGGTTTTAGTCATGAATCTTTCTGAAAGGAAGAGTTCCAAAAACTCATGGATGCTTTCCTCTTCCTATTGCTCACTACAGAATGAGCAGCTTAATCGATATTTTAGTGGCGCTCTCCATCCTGATGGGCTACTCTGTCACCACGGCCAGCTTTGTCACCTATGTTGTAAGGGAGCATCAGACCAAAGCCAAGCAGCTGCAGCACATCTCAGGCATTGGTGTGACATGCTACTGGGTGACAAACTTCATTTATGACATGGTGAGTAACTTGCGTCATTGCAGGAAAGACATGATTGATTTGGGAGAAGACATCAGTTTTAGGGGCACCTGGGTGGCTCAGTTGGTTGAGCGTCCAACCCTTAGTTTTGGCTCAGGTCATGATCTCAGGGTCGTGAGATCGAGCCCCATCTCAGGCTCCACGCTCAGAGGGGAGTCTGCTTGAGATTCTCTCCCTCTCCCTCTGCCCTCCCCTGAATCAGGCTTACTCGCATGCTCTCTCTCTCTCTCTCTCAAAACAAATAAATCTTTTTAAAAAAAGAAGGCATTAGTTTTATTCACCGTACCTTGTTCAGATTATTACAAGTCAGTAAATAAAGAAAAAAAAATTTTGCATCAGTCTTACAGTCATCCGAAAGTTAGGGGAAAGATCTACCTCCCCTTATTCTCTGTGGTCTGAGGACCATCTATATCAGATTCCCCATGACATTTATTGAAATGCAGATTTCTGGGCCCCACTCCAGACCTACTAGGTCAATATCTTAGGAGTGGAGCCAGGATATGCATTTTTAACAAAATCCTTTAAGTTATTTTATGCATACTAAAGTTTGAAAGCCACTACTGTGGAGAAATAGAAGTTAGCAAAATAGCCTTGCCCAATGGTACCAGATAATCAAGCTTATAAAAATTTAGTCAACTAATAGTAAAAAATTTGAAGTAGTAGTCCCTGATGAATGACATATTAGAGAAGATTAGATGGGACAATAAAGAATGAATTTCATTGACAGCTTTCTCATTTGCATAAAATGGTCCCAAAGTTCAGATGGGTTTTCTTGACTCCAAATGTGCCAGTATTGATGAAAAGCCCAGGAGGTGGTATGCATTTGCCTGGTGATTATGGCAAAATTGTCTGAGTTGCTGTATAGATCATTGGCTTGAAGTACTGGAGAGTAATTAACTACATATCCACTTTGTTAATGTATCCAGTGAGGTCTGAAATGTGTTTGTTAAAGAAGTCAAATCTAAAAAGAATCATAATGACTCCTCTGGACTTAATAGGAGCTTTAAGGCCAAGAAAGCTTAAAGTACACGTTTCTGTGAAGGGCTACTTACTACTTAAATTCGTTGTCATATATCTGGTGCTCATTCCAATTTAAGAGATTCCCCCCCAAATTAAATTATCATCTCCCTCATAGTGTGCATCTTGCTGCAACCTGCACATTTAATATTTCTGTTTGTCCATAAAACACTGAGTTCTTTGTTCATATACCTGTGATTCCAAGAATGTGTGGAACCCGCCACTCTGCTGTTTTACACACAGAGTGGCTCACATTGATAACCAAGCCTTAGAAATCAACCACCTGACAGCGTTGCAGCATTCAAAATGAAATCAATACTTTGAGGACCAAATCTAATACCAAGATACCTGACTGTCTTATCTTACTTACTGAACCTCTGTCACCAAAGGATCCCAAGTCTCAAAGCCTGGAGGCAGGAACACCAGGGACTCCATGTACATCTATAAAGATGGAGACTGGCTTGACCTTCTATTGCAGGAGACAAATTCTAGAGCGAAGTCAATGTAAAATAAGCTGAACATTGCAAGCTACAGGAACATAAATAAAAATTCATTCCTTCACCTATTTCAAGGTCAATTTGTTACAGTTTAACTAGATGGGCTATTGATGTTTTTGGAAAAATATTTGCCATATATTAAGCCTTGTTTTACATATTCCCATAGGCCTTCTACTTGCTACCCGTAACATTTTCAATTGGTGTCATTGCAATTTTCAAGTTACCTGCCTTCTACAGTGGAAACAACCTAGGCGCCGTATCTCTCCTGCTTCTGCTGTTTGGGTAAGCTTCAGTGAAAGATGAATGAACAGAATTAGATGTTCCTAGGCACAAAGAGAACCTAAATCTCATTAGCTAATTTACAGTTGTCTTGGGGTTTCAATAGCCATGAGTGATGACTAACAATACATTACACTTGCTAGTCCACAGTTTGTAAAGTACAATACTTCTGAAAATGAATGTTGTTGTTATTAACAGTAATATCTAACATTAATGAGTACTTACTAGGTACCGAGTGTCATGCTTAGCAATCTACACATGTAATCTAATTTACATAAAAATGGATGCTTTAGAATGATCAGAAAAATGTGTGTACATGTATGGATTTATGTATTGACAAATCCTGAGTATATAGCATCATAAGGTGTGCGTACTCATGTATATTTTATTTATATTTTTATAGATGCCTAACACACATACAATATTATTTCTGTATTAGGGCAATACAGGTAGGACAGGTTGATATAATCAGTGCTGGGCATAGCAGTTCTGTCTGCCCTGAATGCATGGGTAATATCCATTGACTTAGCAATGTAGCTGATGATGGATTACTTTGTCTTTACTTCTTCTTCATCACTGGAAAGGTTGCTCCAATATTTGCTCAAAGCAGGACATCCAGCTTCTGAGCATTCCGTGTCTGCTTAGCTAGCTTTCAATGTCATTATTTGTTCTCAGCTTTAAATTGTAACATTTATATTGATTAAACTCTTATTTCTGAGAAAACAAACAAACAAACAGACAAAAACTTCCCTGGGTAGGATAACACCATGTCTAGAAGGAATTAATTTGTAGTTGTGATGATCTAGAACTGTTCAGGTTTCCTTAAAAGAGAAGCTTCTTACTATCACCACTTAAAAAAATACAAAGGATTTGTCAAAAAAATGTCATAGAAGAGAGATCTAACTATAAGAGATCTAGCCAACTTATCCCTAATGTTTATTTTCAAAACCCTATCAAAGGTTTTGTTTTTTTAAAGGATAATGATTAAGGCATAATTTTAATCCTTAGTATTATTAACATACAGGTATGCCACATTTTCTTGGATGTACTTGCTGGCTGGGCTCTTCCGTGAAACAGGAGTGGCTTTCATCACTTACGTCTGCATCAACCTCTTTTTTGGCATCAATTCCATTGTTTCCCTGTCAGTGGTATACTTTCTTTCCAAGGAAAAGCCTAATGATCAGGTAAGGTCCATTATTAGTCTGCTAAATTTCAAGAGACGTATGAAATGCTTCAACATGTTCAAGGTGAAAAGATTTCTTGTATTTCGCATTATCTAATACAAAAGAGGAATTTCATTTAATTCTATTAGATTTAGTAGAGTAGAACCTACAGCCTTTTAAAATTCTTTTTAGGCTTCATCTAGGTTAATGCCTATGATTATATTTCCCAGCGTCAAAACTATTGACATTTGATAGGGCTTGAGTGGGGTGATGGAGGTGAAATCAAGTATATTGTACAACACTATAAAAATCATGCAACCATTGGTCAGCTACACTTTTTACTCCTTAACAAATTGTTATGTTATGGTAGTAACAAGGATAGTGGCTTAGTTCTATGACTGAGGGTTAAGATTCTTTTGAACATTCATAGAGAACAAACCTAATTCATTCCCTTTCAATCATGTATTAGAGTCTGCTTCATTGTAAGCATCACTTTCTGTTCAGAGCTGACAATTATAATTAGTGACAAGGGAGGCACTAACAGTGCTAGGCAATTGAATAGGAAAGAATAGAGAGGAAATGAGGTGAACTAAGGAACAGACAAGCACACTCCAGGAGGAAGAAGACAATTCATGAGTTGCAAGTGGTTGGCCCAAGTGTGAATAACATGAAAATGAGCCATTTGCTCCTCATTGAGTTAGGTCGTCTCTCTTTTCATCTCACTTCACCATTTTAGTCCTTCTTCAAGTACGAATTACCTAAGGTTCTAAAACTTTACCTCACCAAATTCCTCCTCTACTCAGGCATGGCCAATAGCCTGTATCAGATCCCAACACCTTGGCTATTTCTGCATTCCTAGGATGTAAGACAGAGCTAGAAGTGATTTTGCCTCCAGGATTTGGCCTGACCATCGATCATCTCAAGAAAAAGATAATCCTTTTCTGCTTGTGTTTTAGTCATAAATCTCTACTGTTTGCTTATAGTAAATACAAGGAAATTCAGCATACATGTGAAATAATTGCCAATCTAGATGAATTTCTCAAGTTTTAATATTTGTCCACATCTAGTTTTACATTTTTGTCAATTTGTTAGATCTAAGTCTAACACTGAGCTTCATTTTTTTTCCCTCTCATTTCAGACTTTAGAACTTATTTCTGAAACCCTCAAGCGCATTTTCCTGATTTTTCCACAATTCTGCTTTGGCTATGGTTTGATTGAACTTTCTCAACAACAGTCGGTCCTAGACTTCTTAAAAGCATATGGAGTGGAATACCCAAGTGAAACCTTTGAGATGGATAAACTAGGTGCAATGTTTGTGGCTTTGGTTTCTCAGGGCACCATGTTCTTTTCCTTGCGGCTCTTAATCAATGAATGGCTAATAAAGAAATTCAGGTAAATAAAATGAAAACATAGTGTTTGACATCCATGATAGAACTCAATTCAAAATATTTAGGAAGGGGTCCATAGTCATCTTTCCATTAGTAAAATGGTAATGTTGTGCTCAAAAAACTTTAAAAAACTGTAGCATGATTCACCATTCATTTCATTCAGTAAATAGTTATCAAACCTTACTATGTGTCTACAAGTATTATTGTAGAGTGAGAGAATAAAATTAAAGAAGCTCAACCATTAGCCTTAAAGAGATTAAGATTCAGTGGTGGAGAGAAAATACATGCATAAACAAAAGATGTAGTGTTTGAGTTGAGTTTAAAAGGATGAATAGAAAGTAGAAATGAGGAAAGAGGACTGAATGAGTAGCATACTAGCAGTGGGTTTAGGAGAAGAAGATTGAGTAAAGAGAAAACAGAATCATAAATAAAAAGAAATACACATACCATTGACCCAGCTATTCCATTTCTAGGATTTTTTTCCTACAGATATGCTCACACACATGCAGAATTATGTATGTATAAAGTCATCCATCATAGCAACCATTCTTAATAGCAAAAGAATGAAAAAAACCTAAATGTCCTCCATGTAAGGATTGGTTCAATAAATTATGTTTTTTCATAAGTGAAGCACTATGCAGTTATTAGACTGTACAGTTCTGTATGTAATATTTGTGGTTACTGCTGATATTAAGTGAAAAATGCAAGTTTCAGAACTTTGTGTAATGTTTATTACCATTTGGGTTAGAAAAGAACTATAATTTATACATACATATGCATAGACTATCTCTAATTATGAGTGCCCTGCAGAGTTGAAGGAAACTTACTTTTCACTATATATTCTTCAGTACCTTTTTAATACATGATGTGCACGTATCACCTGTGGAAAAATAAAACTTAAGTTAAAAATAATGAAAAGAATGACAAGAGCAAAGATCAAGCAAAAAAATCTTGGCTTGTATTTGAGAAATGAGTAATACAGTGTGATTAGAACATAGAATAAATGTAATGAAATAGTAGGAGCTCAAGCATGTGGCCAGAAGACTATGGAGTCTATTGGATACTCAGTTAAAGAGATGATTTGGACTTTATTCAACAAACAAATAGGAGTCCTATAAAGGTTTTGACCAGAAAGCAACCTGATCAAATGATGGTTTAGGAGATGTGATTCTGTGGAGGTCCTACAGATTAGAATGGAAGAGTCAGAGATATTGGAGCAGTTTGAGATTCCTGAAGAATTTAGGTGAGAAAGAGTGAAAGCCTCTGATGGTAATAGAAATAGACAGAACATGATTGATGACTGGGTGTTACAGGCATTTCCAGTGCTAGGAGACTGACATGAGTGGATTTTGGAATGGAGAAGATTCAAAGAAAACATCACAGTTGGACTCTCTGGAGATATCATTAAAAGAAATGGGGACATTGGGAGGAAGACCTGAATTGATTTGTTGGGTTTTTAAATTTGGTTTCGTTTTGTTTGCTTTATTATATGTTAGGCAAGATATTGAGGTGGGTTTGAGACTTAGTTTTCAGGGCCGATAACCTTAATATATTGGCTAGATCCTAGGCAAGACATTCACAGTAAACAGAATATAGAGGAACATTCATGTCACTGATGATAAAAGAAGAAATAAAAAGGATTTTTTTAAGAAGATGATAATTGATCGTGGGCTTATAAGTGTTGGATCTTACTAATGACTCTGGTCTCTCTTATAGGAAGTAACTTTCAAACCCAAACTAACCTCCTTGTTACTAAAATTAGGATTCTGAATTGTAACAGTGGTTCTGAAAGCATTTAAGGCATTGAAAGCAGAAGCTGTTTTCCAAACACCATATTGAATATGGTGAAGGGCATCCATACTAATTTTTAACTTATTTAAGTAGCATAATGCATAACAAATTTAAAACAAACCTAGTGTGTGATTGCCCACTTTTAGTCAAGTGAGAGCCTGTTTAGACATGTCAAATTGAGTGGTGCCATTTCAGAATCATTGATGCAGAATCACTGGGTCCATTTTTTAGACTCTTCTTCAGAAAATTTAATTCTTCACCTGTAATGGAGACAATAGATGAAGACGAAGATGTGCAGGCTGAGAGATTCAGAGTGGAGAATGGTGCAAGTGAATTTGACCTGGTCCAGCTGCATCGTCTCACAAAGACCTACCAGCTGATCCACAAGAAGATTATAGCTGTAAACAATATCAGCATTGGGATACCCGCTGGGGAGGTGAGGAACACTGCTTTGTTCTGAACGGTCCTTTATATTGTCCTATTAAGTGACAAAAATCTTTATCTTTTCCTACTTTTTTTCTAGAAAGATGGAAGTCACCCCCTGAATATTTTGATGGATTCTGTATATAAAATTTACACACATCCATGTGTTACTTACCCTCTAAGTCTTCCCTCTTAACAGGGAGGATTCACCACATCCCAAGTCCTGATCCCCATCCCAAGCTGCTGTCCCCCCTGGGGGGGACTTTCAGTCAAGATGCCTGTGCAGGGTGCTCTCTTCAACTTTCAGTTTTCAGCCATCTGTGAAAGACGAGTGGTCAGAAGCGAGGTCCTAGAACTGCATCCATATTTATTCTTGCTGTTTTTATAGAAGAAATATTGGGGCACCTGTGTGGCTCAGTCGGTTAAGCATCTGACTCTTGATTTTGGCTCAGGTCATGATCTCAGGGTCATGGGATTGAGCCCCACATCAGACTCCACGCTCAGTGTGGTCTGCTTAAGGTTCTCGCTCTTTCTCTCCTTCTGCCCCTCCCCCCTCTCTCTCACAAATAACTAAATCTTTAAAGACAAAAAAAAAAAAGAAATATTAAGGCAGCTTTGAAAGGAGAAAAAGAATGTGAGCATTTCTCTTAGTTTTTAGAGCAGACCTGCAAACCAAATGCATCAAATCTATTCAACAGCATAAAGAAATTATTGCTTCAGCGGCTTATTCAGTAAAGTTGTGATTTTGTGTGAATAATGTGAAATCTATAAATATAATTACTTTGTCAAGTTAGCATATCCTACTTGTGGGATGTTTTGTCGTGTCACACAGATAATATAATATGTAAAATAAGTCCTATGTATATATACAAATGTTCAGATGGTTAAAGGAAAAAAAGATATGTAAGGAACCATTTGTTTTAAAAGAGAAAGTTTTATCAAATGCCAACAGAACACTACAATAACCATGAATAATTCCAATGATTTATTTTTCTTTATTATTTATTTCACCCAGGGAGAAAAAGGAAAGGGATGTAATAGTAACATGTCTTTGGTTTGGATTAAGATTTATATCTTTTTTTTTTTTTCTCTCCAAAACCAGTGCTTTGGCCTTCTTGGGGTGAATGGAGCAGGAAAGACAACTATCTTCAAGATGCTGACAGGAGACATAATTCCTTCAAGTGGAAATATTCTGATAAGAAATAAAACTGGGTATGAAAAACCATGGCTTCAAGTTATTGAGCACAACATAATGACATGAAAAAAAATAATAATTAAAATGAACTCTTTGTTATTTTGTAGTTATATTGTTAAATCCTTAGGGAAAAAATAGCTATTCCAAGAGGTGGAAATTTTTAAATCTTTAAGTGTGATATGATGGTGGGATATTTTACCTTGTTTTTATTAGAATCACCAATCACCATGACCAAAATAGAGCTGCCTTCCCCACATTTGGGGACTAGCAGGGACATACCTTTTGAAACTCATCTGTGTCTTTGCTTCTCTCAACTCAGCTCCCTGGGTCATGTTGACTCACACAGCTCCCTGATTGGATACTGCCCTCAGGAAGATGCCTTAGATGACCTGGTGTCTGTGGAGGAACACCTGTATTTCTACGCCAGGATACATGGAATTCCAGAAAAAGATATTAGAGAAGTGAGTACAAGTGTGAAAACTAGTTCCTTTGAAAACCATTACTGCTTCCGCTCCCTGCCTCCCACTCTCACGACTCAGTCGACATCTGGAAACCTGTGGCATTTTCTTGCTGTCATGACCTCTGAGGCAGTCTTCCCTTAATTGTGAATATCAGGTGGACGCCTTTGAACCCAGCTGCAGAAGCTCCTTGACCTGTGTTTGCTCAGAACTATCCAGTAAAGCATCACACTTGCCATAGGCTCAGGGCTGAGCATTGATTGGTGATGTCTGCACATCCTGCAGTGTTTAGATAAGTTCTGAACACGGGATTCCCTGCAAACGGCCCACGTAAAATCGAACAGCTTCCATTTTGATTGTTTAAATGTGGTTTTGTACTTCACTGGCATCATTTGCTTTTTTAATGGAATGGCCAACCCTTCGGGCGCTTTCTCTATTTCTGCAACCCTGGGGACCTGTTGAAATCCTCCTAGGATTCCACTCTTGGCCAGAGCTGTTTAGCTACAGAAATAGCCTCAAGAACCCACGATTCCTAAGTTAATGTGCTGAAGTTTTGATACTGGGTCATTTTTAAATAGACACAAAGCCTTTGTGACAACTTGCCCCCTCCGTAAGAAGAAAGATGAAACGGCGAGCACAGTCCAGTGCGTTGTGAAGGGTAGAATTCTGTTTTAGTCCAATCCAATTGTAAACACACCCACACATTTGGGGGGAAAAAATGGGAAAAAAATCCCATTTGAAAATGAGCCTCCACAGAATTGTTTTTATCTCTTTAAGGGATTATTAATTTTTAGGTGGACCTTTGAAAGTAAAAATAAAATATGTTGGGTTTAAATGTTGGAATTGTTTTCAGTAGGTATTTCTTCATTATAGAACTTTCTTTCACAATTATCTTTTTCCATGTAGTGCTGTTAGGGTTTTGGCAGGGGAAGGTCAACAACCTAACTCCTGCTTTCCACCCACAGACTGTACATAAACTCCTTAGGAGACTTCACCTGATGCCCTACAAGGACAGAGCTACCTCTTTGTGCAGTTACGGCACAAAAAGAAAATTATCCACCGCACTGGCCTTGATAGGGAAACCTTCCATTCTCCTGCTGGTAAGAGGATCATTGTGGAGAAGGGGACTGCATAATTAGACCCACATGCCCAATATGTATGTAACAATTTATTGTCATCGTTGCTTTACTGAGGTCTCGCTATGTGCTGGTTATTTTACAAAACATTTTACATATACCACCTCATTAAGGGAATTTTTTTTTTTAAAGATTTTATTTATTTATTTGACAGAGAACGCAAGAGAGCACAAGCGGGGGAGCAGCAGAGGGAGAGGGAGAAACAGGCTCCCCGCTAAGCAGGGAGCCTGATGAGGCGGGGCTCGATCCCAGATCTCTGGGATCATGACCTGAGCTGAAGGCAGACACTTAACTGACTGAGCCACCCAGGCGCCCTCATTAAGGGAATTCCTATCAGCAAAGATCTATGGCTAGTCCATTTCAGAAGAAACACTTGTTGTGGGAACAGGAAGTAGCCGAAACAAATTTAAGATATTCTAATAAGTAATGTTACGGAATATGGAAGAATTTGATTGCCCATTATTGAAATCTGTTGTTAGTAAACTTATCAGGTGAACCAATGTATTTTCCAACTTCTCCTAAAACGGAAAGACACAGTTTAGGGTGATGTGTTGTGCTAAAATTTCATTTCCCTATTACTTAAAAATATGAGTTACCTAGTTTGGGATGTGATTGACAATATGCTTTTCTATTTTATTTGAATTCTCTGGAGGGAAGAAATGCATTGCACGTTTATATTTTGGTTAAGAGCTGGAAAATTAAATTCATCACCTGGAAATACAAATTACACATCAAGGCGATCCATATGACATCCTGCTCTTCAGGCCAAACATTGCGAAGGGGCTTATTTCTGAGAAATGAAATTGCCTTTATTTGGAAGATCCCCTTCATTCAAGGAACTCCAAACTTCAGAAGAGTTTTAACTGTATGCAATACAAATTCACGTATAAATCACCACATTATTCCAGGGATTAAGTCCTACAGAGGACCAAATCATTTAAACCACCCATCTAAAGAATGCACAACCTATCTTTCTTTACCAGAAGCTTATAATGCATTACATCCCTACCCATCAATGCTTATGGTGGAATTTTATTGTCTAAGTGTCCCTTAACTTGAACAAAACAATCCTTAGGCACCCCTGTGAGATAATAGAGGTAAAGTACTTAAAATGTTTAAAAGTGCTATGCAAATGTTATATATTAATGAGCTGAACTGAAATACAGGCTGTGAGAGAAAGCTATTATATTTTCTGCCATATGCATTTGCCCTATATGCTGTCGTCTTCAAAAATAAGAGCAGTGACAAGATATCCTTACCTGTTTCCCCAAACCAACACTCATTCCTTTAACCTCTTACTATAAAGACAAGCCTCAGGTAATCCTATGTCCATACTCTCCACTGCAAATACATATCTTTAGTTATGACCTAATCTTGACCTCTAATTTGTTAATTTAACCATCTCTTAGAATCTATTATTGCTTGTTTAGATTATCCATTTTTACATTTTGAATTTTGTGTCTGAACAATTTTCCAAAACATCATTTATTTTAAAATATAATTTGTATTTTCTACATGGCAATTTCTGCAAATCTTATTTTTATCTCTCCAAAGAGAATTCAATTTCCATTAATAACATAGAATTTAAAATATACCTCAAACATATTAACTGAAAAATCAAATTGTGTTCTGTGGGCATCACAAACTGTATTATCACTCAAAGCCACAATTCTGCTATCAGGAGTAAGGTAGCAATCTTGTTGATGTAGCTTCAGATGTATCTGTGACAATGTAGTATTAACACAGAAACTCCACTTTGTCAGGAACTGATGCAGATCTTTTTCCAAAGAAATAAGAGACAAGTGTAAAGTAACAGGGTGTCAACTTCACTGAGACACTTTTTAAAACAGATTGACAATTTTAAATGATTAATTTTGAGCTTTTTGACAGCAGAGGAAAGAAGCCTATTAAGTATAAAACAAGTTAGTCACAGGACTTCGCAAAGTGATTTCTGTTCTAGGCAAGTGAGACGCAGTGATTCATGTAAAGAACCCCATCAAAAATTAATTAATTTGATAAATTTTTCTTGTAACTTTCTGTTAAGGATGAGCCGAGCTCTGGGATGGATCCTAAGTCGAAACGGCAGCTCTGGAAGATCATTTCAGAAGAAGTGCAGAATAAATGTTCCGTCATCCTCACATCTCACAGGTAAACCGAGTGTGGGAACTTGAAAGCCATTGACAGGATTTTAGGAAGAGAGATGGGAAGAGATAATCCTATGTAGTATGTATTGATAATGAATCCACAATTGGATTGAAGTATTTTATGTTTATAGTCATAGGAGCAAGTCAGGCAGGTTTCATGTGAGAATCCATCTCCTGTGGTGGGTAGGATAGGGCCTAAGCAATCTTTTTAAAAACAAATTTCTCTTAGGGCGCCTACGTGGCTCAGTCTGTTGAGCGTCCCATTCTTGGTTTCGGCTCAGGTCATGATCTCATGGGTCTTGAGATCAAGCCCTGCTTCCGCGGACTCTGCTTGAAGATTCTCTCCCTCTGCTCCTCCCCGCCACGTGTGTGTGTGCCCATGCGCTTTGTCTCTCTCTCTCAAATAAATGAATAATCTTTAAAAAGAAATTTAAAAATAAAAGGTAAAAACAAATTTCTCTTAAATTAAGAGGGACTTATGACTCTCTTAATTTAACTATTACTCCCTATTGCCATAAAGTTCATCATTCTCAACCTAGCATGAAAGACCTCTTGTCTGGCCTCATCTAAATTTCCAGTCTTTTTTTTCCTGTGACACCCCCACCCCATTCAGTCAATCTGAATGACTTAGTAATTCCACATACACTCACCACCCTTCCCTATCACCACATCCTCTCTCTGCCTGTGCTTTCTACCTGAAATGGTCTTTCACAAAATCCAAGTTCTCATCTTCCTCGCCTCCTCCATGAAGTAGACCCTTCCAATCAATTCAATAAAAAAGCTACTGAAGTATTTTATCTGTGCCTTTCTTGTAAGGTTAGCCTTGTATTAAAGTTATCCCTTCACTGCAATTATATAGTAGGAAAAGTTCTGGATTTATTTATAATTAAGAGACAAATTCATATCCTAGCTTTGCCCAGCACACTATATGTTCTGAAGCCAATCTTTTCCTTTCCATTCACTTTTGTATGAAGTGGAGAGGATCTCTACGAGTTGTCATAGTTCTTGAAATGAGAGATTATATAATCAAGTACAGGTTAACTAGTTATAAATAACAAAGCATAAAAGCCAACTGAATATGGAATATGAAGAGTCATGAAAAAAGCTCAGGATTATTTTGGAAACATTTCTCAGGGAATGTAGGTCTTGAGCCTAAGCTTGAAAGAGGTTGAAAGAAATACTGTGTTTGATGAGAGGGCATTCCAGGTGAGAGAGATGGCTTCAAGCTGGAGAATAAAGAGTAATAAACCCTATGTGAAGACATTTAACTTGTATTTTAAAATGTATTTCTTGTGTCCTTCAAGGGAAAAGACATTTTAAGGAACTAAAATAGTATTTCTAAGGTGCCATAATGAAACATTTAAGCTTATGCTTATGAGCAGTTCTCTGTGCCCAGAATTCTGATGTGATTCTGTCTTTCAGCATGGAAGAATGTGAGGCTCTCTGTACCAGGTTGGCCATTATGGTGAATGGAAGATTCCAATGTATTGGATCTTTGCAGCATATAAAGAGCAGGTGAGGGGCACCTGGGTGGCTCAGTTGGTTAAGTGTCTGAATCTTGGTTTCGGCTCAGATTGTGATCTCAGGGTCGTGAGATGGAGCCCCACATTGGGCTCTGCACTCAGCAGGAGTCGGCTTGAGATTCTATCTCCCTCTCCCTTTGCCCCTCCCCACAGTGCCCTCTCTATCTCCCTCTCTCTCTCGAAAACAAATAAATAAGTCTTAAAAAAAAAAAAGCAGGTGAAGAACAATTGCGTTGTTTAGCATATGGTGTCAGGAAGTCAATCTAACAGTACTGTACTTACCTTTGAGGATTATTTAACAGCTTGTCCTGTAATGAAAAGTCAAACTGGAAAGAAAAAGTTGATCTTTGATACACCTTAAAGTTAAATTATCTTACTAAAACGTCTCAAAAAAAATCTACAACATAAATACTCTCAGAAAGTAGTTTTCAAGAATTTACTCGATAACAAGTTAGACCTTGACAAGTACATAAAGGCATAGATTTTTATGTAGCGTGTTCATGTGCCATTTGCACAGGCTTTTAGTAAGCATTTAACATTTTTACTGCATTCACAACCTTTTAATCAAGAATACATTGGGGAGGGCGCCTGGGTGGCTCAGTCGTTAAGCGTCTGCCTTAGGCTCAGGTCATGATCCCAGGGTCCTGGGATCGAGTCCCGCATCGGGCTCCCTGCTCGGCGGGA